CATTGCCAAGCCAAGTGAAGAGTGGGAACTGAGCCAAGGCAATAAAGAGCAAGAGATAGTGATGCCTGCTTGAATCATAGCTCCTCACTTCTGCAAATAGTACTCTCTTCATCGTTTTCACCAAGAATATTCCCATGCATAAGGCTGTCCATGGCATCAGAAAATAGTAAGAGTACTTCAACGATATTCTTCCGATGGCAGCTAGACACAATCCGGTAAACGCATATCCAGCATATGCAACGATATCGAGTAATGGTGCCTCCCCACATCCTAGTGATAAGAGTGTTACTTTAAGCAGCATGACTTGCATAAACCAACCAAGCAATCCTTTGATGAACAACCAACTCAAAGCTTCTGGAGTAAACCTATAATGATTTTAGAAAATAAAAAATGTTAATAATTCTCATTCTTGAATGTCTAGTTGAAATGAATACTAGAAGGATATCTGAGAAAGATAAGCACAACAAAAGTTGAAAGTGTAAAACAAAGTTGAATGGAAACCGTTAAAATACACCCTTGAACTTTCAAAAGTTTCATTAGTACCCTTGAAGAAAGACATGTACGCATCAGCAATATAATCAGCCACAAACAATATTGAATTCTTAAGTAGCCGCTGAGGTCACAGAGGAAACTCTAGGTGAAAGGAAGAACATGAGCGCCTATTAACTATTTGGCCTCCACATCCCAAAATCTAGACCATAGACTAAGCATAATTGCAACTTCAAAAGATACTGTCAAGATCCTTTAAAGCACCTTGGCAAAGAGCACCACTACGGCCCCAAAAAGGTGTTCGCTCATGCAGATCTCCACGGCAAAGAACTTAATATTCTTGGGCCTTTCTATTGGGCGTCAAAATTATAAATAAAATAACCTAAGATTTATATGTATTTTGTGTAAATGTGCTTTTGAGAGATTGGAACATGCAACAGTTCTTGTCATGCAATAGTTGAGAAGGAGTTTTTGGCTCCTTTGGTTTTATGTTTCTTTTTTGTTCAGTTGTAAATCGTTGTCATTTTCCACTCATGTTTTAAAATAAGAAAAAAAGGATTATAATGATGGTACACCCGAAGACGTATTTGCACTCACTTTCCTTGAAGACCAAGTGAGAAGCCTGCAAGAACAACATAAGTACCGAAAGCCATGAACGGAATGTACAAGTCTGGTGCATTGATATCATAAATTGGTGGCTTATACGAAAGTCTGCCTCCAATTGGGTCAGTTATTCTTGTCCAGTGGCCCTAAAACAAAGCAATACGCCAAGTAAGGAATAATGAGGAGAGAGTAAGGGCAACTAAAATCAACAAGAAATTATAAGATTAGTACATACCCTGTGTAGAAATGGAAATAGGACAACCTTCAATTTATTCCTCACATACTGGTCATTCACTTGGAAGTAGTATTGAGGATCAGAAAAGTACCTACTTATCTGTCCATTGCAAAAATAAAATTAAAAAATGAAAACCTAATTCAAAAAAGGCTAAGAAAATGCCTTCTATCATCTGAGAACAGAAAAATTTAGGCTCATGCTTGAGAATTTCAAAGCACCCAATCAATAGAAGGTATTCATCTTACTTGCAAGATTTTAACAAAGAAGAGAGGATCAAGTCCATCATCCATGAATGAGATAAGGATTAAAAAAATGTTTAGAAAGCATTATGAACAAGTCTTCATATAAACAAATAAAATTTTCTTTTCTTTTCTTTTTTATTTTTTATTTTGGGGGTGGGGGTGGGGGTGAGGGGAAAAAACACTTTCATTGATTAGTTGAAAAGTTTATGTCGTAAAATAACAGAAAAGGCACACCAACTATAGGCATGCAATTCAATTAGATCTAGAACCTCTTGCCAACTTAAGAACTTTGAATATTCTCATATCTTAAAAACAGAACTCCACACAAAAGGTTTTCTGCACATTATGCCTCAATGTCATAGCTTTTCATCTCCCCTCTTTGAATCCATTACACAAAACAATAGCTCCATACCTTCTTCGACTCAGTCTCCAAGTACATTAAAAACTTTGAAAGAAGAAAGCAGAGAAATGATCATAACTACAAACTGAAGGGGCAATGAAAAAATAAATGATGGCCTTGGAATTCTGCTCTAGGCAGCTTAAATAACAGCTTGGTTCAGTTTTTGCCGTGGTCACTCTCTCAAAGGGTCCACACAACTGCTTTCCTTTGTTAGGGCATTTCTCGTCCTTAAAATAACATGTCGTAGATCCTTATAAAGCAAGGTAGTTGTAACGACCCAGATCGTTAGAGTAGTGGAACCCCACAGGCACATAATATAAAGCTTTAAGACTTGACTGGAAACATATGTATGTTGGCACTCTACTTCATAGAGCTTCAACCTAGATTAGACTTTTTCACAGAGATGCAATGAAGAACCTAAGTTTGATGCTATCTGGCAATAATTTCAAGAGCTGGGGAGCTTTAGGTTAAATGCAGTTGAAACAACTCATTTGGGTTCATGGAGAGAAATGAAAGAGTGGATGCTTAATGATAGAAGCAACGATTACAAGAGGCAGTATAAATGGTTAAGTTAAAATGTTCTGTATGTAGTTAACTATCTCCATGCTCTTGTAAATTAATGTGAATTCGGTAGTTTTATAAAGTCTTACACGGTTGAGCAGACATAGAAGGCATTAATATTCCCCCAAGAAGATAAGAGGAAATATTGTTAAACAGTCCTAGCCATTAAGCTTTATGTCCTTTCACTAATTAAAAAGAAAAAATAAAGTGTTTCTTGTGTAAGAAAAATTGTAATGGAATTTTAAGAAACACAAACAAGGAAGAAACAACACTAACCACACTCACCAAGTTGTGATTTTGCATTTTTATAGAAATCTATATCCTTTTTTGAACTATAAATCTTGAATGGTAATAAATTTACAGATTAACTAGTACTCACATTGCTTTGAACATACTCTGAGCTTGATCCAAATATTTTCTCTCCATATGCACCCAGCCCACCTCGGATTAGTCCGGATCCAGCACCATAAAATGCATTTCCAAATGGATTTGGCTGAGAGCTTGGTAGAGGTTTTGAAGCTGCAGACTGAGCTTCAACATTATTATACATTTCTGCATTTGGAAAGGAAAAAAAAAAGTCAACATACAAAAAAAAGCACTCACGAGTATATGTATATTTCTTTTTCAACTTAAAATGAGGGATGAAGCCGGCACTCAAAACATATTTTCACCAACAGACCATAGCAACAAATTAAAAACATTTTAAACTTAAAAAAAAGTAAGATATCAATCTAATTAAAAGGTAAAGGTTCGGGACTCAAACGTGGCCAGTATAGAACAACAATCTGAAAAACGTGCAGTCACAACAAATGGTCAAAACTCTGAAACAAACACCATGGCTTCAAAGTTGCATGTTATACAAAATTGCAAGTATTGTTACAGCTAAGCCTCAATTTGATCACTCATTACCTATCACGAAGTTAAAATTTGGTGTCTCAATGGGAATTTGCTTGGAATATTCACAGGAAACAAAACCTCCAAGGGAAATCTTTATTCAACTTTCTCAAATGCTAAAAAGTAACCAAAAATCAATTTAAGCTCATCTTTATGATAAGAAAATTTGAAAAAAAAAACTCCAATAATAACTATTTCCAGAACCGATCAGATCCCAAAAAGCGCCACAACATTCAATTTGAACCCAAAAACTTCGAACTTACAAAGAAGAAATCGTTATGATCCTAAAACAATAAGAAGCTGTCACAACACTAGAATGAGATCTCAAGTTCGATAAGAATATAAACCAGAGGAAAAGAACTAGCTAATACCGCAAGAAGCAAGTAAAAATTCACGCAATTCATGGAAATGAAACACACCATACGTTCCAAATTCCGAACAAATCAATCTAATGAAGCAAAGCAAGAAAAAAAAAACAAAAGGCGAACCTCTGAAGAAACACGACCGAACGGAAGATCAACAGGCTGAAAATGACGAAAAGAAGGTGCGAAACGGACCGGCGAAGGCTCTGCTGTGGCACGGTGGAAGGGGTCGAAAAGGTTCCGGTCAAGGCCTCCTCGCTTAGGGGAGAAGAAAGCGTGTTGTAGACTGAATCTGAACGTGAACTTGGGTCGGCTCTCGGCCAAGACTGTGACGTGGGCTCGGGCTCCACTTAGACAACCATTTGGTTACGGGCAATAACAAGAGTCCTGCCCTAAAATATCTTTCAATTTTATTAAATATAGATTAAACTAATAAATGATGCATTACCCATATCAATGAATTATCGATCTGGGCTCGGATTAACTTAGCTCGATCCTCAAGTGTCGAACGAATGGTATATTTTGTTCGAGAGGTTTAGAGAAAGGAGTCGAGCCTCAATTAAGAGGAGGTTCTTCTTCGAGGGCTCCATAGATCTCATGGGAGGATCGTTGAGAGGAGTCCCGCACTGACTAACTAAGGGATAAGAATCATTTTTAGGAGTCTCGAAAGGCATCTTTTCTTTGTTTGTTGGGTAATGGTTCATACCTGCATTCCACCCGTTCTTGGCAACTTTTACTTTTTAACCTAATACAATGCCTACATGCTCTTTACGCCCGGTTAGTCCAAAGAACAATTGTCCCTCCCTCCCCTCTCCCGTCTTATTGAAGTTGCAGTCACTGAATTAACTAAAACTTCTTCCTCGAGTCTTGTTATGATTATAGACTCAATGAAAGAGCATCGATATTTTCATCATTAGATTTCTAATATACAAAATTTTATTTTAAAAAAATATTAATTAATCTATGGGATAAATTTAACATTTTGTAAAATTTATTATTGTTTTTTCTTTTTTCCTGAAAATAGAATTGAACCGCGGCCCAAACGAAACTAGACCAGTTGAAATCCAAACATTAACCCCACGTAAAGAGGTCCACAAAAACTAATTACGTGTCACTATATGATTCGTCAAATCTCACACGTTGACTTTTATGTTTGAAACCTGCCAAATCAATGGACGACACGTGGTTCAAAGCCGGATCCCCATCTTTACATCCTGAACCCGACCACCGCCACCACGGTCTCTTCCCCTCTCTCTCTCTCTCTCTCTCTCTCTCTCCGCTTCGAATCCCTCTCTCTCTCTCCCACTTTGATCAAATACCCTCCTGAAATTTTTCAGTAAGTTTCTATTTTCAAGTCTCTTCACTTATAATTCATTTGGATTCTCCAGTTTCTAAACGATTCGACATTTTCGCGGTGTTTTGATTTTGGGTTCTTTTTCTTTGATGGTTTATGGGATGTGGGGGTGCGTTTATTGGTGGGAAATCATGAAATTCGGTGCTGTTTGTGTGCTTTTTTTGTTTGGGAGATCGAGATAATGTAGGTCAAAATTTCAATGGACGGCCGAGAATTTCAATTATCTGTACCGCGTTTGAGTTTGGTGACTTGGGTCGTGTTTCTTTCCCTTTTGCATTGATTTTTGTATGATTTCAGGCATTTGTTGAACTGATAAACTCATCAATCAACATAACTCGTGTCATGTATGGCGTCAGATCCTTGTGTGCATACAAGGTGTTTGTATAAATGCTTGCTTAGTCACTTTTTTCTGCAATATTAGTGTTCATCTGTTCCTTTTGATTTCATATTGGTTATAGTCTTTTATGAAAGGGATTGATTGTTAATTGTTGATTGTTGATTGTTGATTGCAGTGGAGTTTGGGGTTGATGGTGATAGTGAAGTGGTGGGAAATTCAACTCTGGTGGAGGATAGTAAACCACTTGATGAAAACGAAACAGGTGTAAGTTCGATCGAAAGGATTTTCGATCACGACCAGGATGAGAAAATCATTCAAGATTCATCTGGAAGGAATGCCATTCTAGATTCAGTTCCTGGATTGCCAGTAGTTCAAGGAGATGAGCCATATATTGGCCAGGAATTTGAAAATGAGGCAGCAGCTCATGCGTTTTATAATGCTTATGCTACTCGTGTCGGTTTTGTGATTCGTGTTAGCAAGCTCTCGCGATCGAGACGTGATGGAACGGCTATTGGACGTGCACTAGTCTGCAACAAGGAAGGTTACAGAATGCCGGACAAGCGGGAAAAGATCGTGAGGCAAAGGGCCGAGACGAGGGTAGGCTGCAGGGCAATGATCTTGGTGAGGAAAATAACTTCTGGGAAATGGGTTGTCACTAAATTTGTAAAAGAACATACTCATCCTTTGTCACCTGGGAAAAGTCGAAGAGATTGCATATATGATCAATACCCGGTAAGTTCTTGTTCCACATACCATTATTTGCATACTCAATTCCTGACACTGTTATACATGTTGTTCTGATTGTAGTCTGGCGTGCATTAGTTGTAAATTGGATTATCTTGGAATGAATCATCTGGCTTTTTCCGAATAAGCTTTCTCCAGCAAGTTTGAGTTAAAGAAGTAAAATGGACAATGCAGCTATTTGAAACTGGTATTTTATCTATCTTTGTTGCTTTATTTGAGGCTAGGTGCACTTACCTAGACATCCTACATCCTCTACCCTCCTTCGAGGTGTGTACGCACATGAACACAAAAATGTTGTATTTAACCAAACATGTTTTCGAGATGTAGGCTTCTTAGTTACGGAAATTGGTCTACTTTGATGAAGGAAAGTCACTGAGCCTATCGTGTCGATGGCCGTTGAACCAACTCTAACGAAAATTGTGTACATAAAGTGATAGATCAAACATATGGGTTTGTCTTGTGTTGTGCTTCTATCAATGTTATCCACTTTTCTGTTGTTTGATTGGAACTATGGGATAATATGTGGAATTCAGAAAGAATGTGAGATCCTACATCGGTTGGGGAGGAGAACGAAGCATTCTTTATAAGAGTGTGGAAACCTCTCCCTAATAGACGCGTTTAAAAACCTTGAAGGGAAGCCCAAAAGGGAAAGCCCAAAGAGGACAATATCTGCTAGCATTGGTCTCGGGCTGTTACAGTTGGTATTAGAGCCAGACATTGGGCGTTGTACCAGCGAGGACATTGGGCTCCCAAGAGGGGTGGATTGTGAGATCCCACATCTGTTGGAGAGGGAAACGAAGCATTCTTCATGAGGGTGTGGAAACCTCTCCCTAATAGAAGTGTTTTAAAACTTGAGGGAAAGCTCGAAAGGAAAGCCCAAAGAGAACAATATCTGCTATAGTGATTACTTCGGGCTGATACTATGAACGAACTTGGCATTATGGATTAGAGTGCACATTTCGTTAATACATTGAGAGTAAGGTTCATGTCTCTTCCCTCTTGAAATTGAGCTGGACATCTATGTTTAGTATGCTTTTCTATAAAGAAAATGATCGGTGGCCATTCTTCCACTTTTTCTTGCTTTCATATACCTTGACTAGGTTTGAATCTCCATTCTCCCACGCGTTTCTGTTGAACTCAAAAAGGTTGTTTATCGATTCCAGTTTATTTTTTTGTCTTATTTGTTGCATTACTTGCCACAAAGAGGGCACTCTTGATCTTACCTTCTCTAAATAGTTTATGTGATATGTTAGATCTCTGATCTCGGTCTCTTTGAATAGTGTGTATCTTGCCAGTTTTGGTCCTCTCTGCTGGTACATTTAACATGACATAGAAATTGATCTATCCTCTATAGGAGAGTGACTCAAGGGGAGGGTAGATTTTCTTTGTTCCAAGCGAGAAAGAAAGTCATAGGCACGTAGGTTCAGGGCTGGTTTGGGTCCCATTTGGATTCGTTGGCATTGGTTTCTAGCTTACGCTTTTGACTCTGCTCGAACCATTTCTTCTCTATTCTTTGTTATAATACTTGAACAGTTGAGTGACTTTGTTTTTCATTGTCTCTTTATGTGTACTTTTTTAGGCTTACTGTAATTGCCAATGCATATCTGGTTCTTTAACTCAACTTTTGCCATCCTTGCATTGCAGAACGAACACGATAAGATACGTGAACTATCTCAACAGCTTGCAGTTGAGAAAAAGCGATCTGCGATGTATAAAAGGCATCTAGAAGTGATATTCGAATACATCGAGGAGCATAACAATAACTTGTCGAGAAAGATCCAACATATAGTAGACAATGTGAAGGAGATGGAAAGCATAGAACAGCAGAATCATAGATAGTATTTGGCCATACTTTTTATACTTGCAATTTGGGATTCCAAAATGGGTTGCTGGATGGATGAAGAAATTGTTAGGTCAGTGATATTCATTGTGATATGTTCCAGCATTTGGTTCCTAATTCAGTTTCACAAAAATGGAGTATTGCTCATGGTATTCATTGCATGTAAATCCATGTTTTGTACAGTATTCGAACGATTTTTATCTTATTTCGAGACGTTATTGATTAGCTCATCTTTATGAACATCGTAGATTGCACGGAAATAAGAAACAATAAACACGAACGGTTGTCGGGTTTTGATGGCTAGTTGAAAACCATGAAGTGGGTAATGTTAAAGATCAAGTAGATGATGAAATGAATGTTAATTCAATAGGTATAACTTACCTTAATCATGATGTTATCATAGGCTATGTTTAAGAAAATTAAGAGTTCAAAATTAAAACCTCACCCCACGGTCAGAAATCAAACAAACGTTCCAATGCCTGTCTAATTGTGTATATATATCTTAACCGGTTGAGTATAAGTTCCACCAAAATTCAAACTTATAAAACATCATGAGCCCAAGTAACCCGAACCTCAAAGAACAACATCCAATCCCTATGCTTGTTTGGGAGACAAAGTTCAAACAACTTCAAAATAATGACTCAAAAAACATTTCTGTTCACTCGGATCATGTCATTTAAGCTATCTGAATAGTGTTCTTAATTATGAAAAAAGAAGGAAACAAATCTTACAGCTGGTGAACGTGTTGTTATGTCATCCCAAAATGCAAAGCATTCCTTCATCCTACATGTTGTAAGGCTTAGAAGAAGCCTGTGAAGCATTTTGTCTCGAGCATCCTACTTTCCCATATGTGATAGTATCCTGCTTATCAGGGCTTCCTTCTTTCCAGATACGGGAAGATCGTGTGCGGTCAAATAATACTTCAACTCGACAACCGACAATTCCTTCAGCTGCAAACATGAAGGCAAAACTTTTAAAGAGGTTGAATTATGGTGGTGGATGATTTTAAACCATTCGATAACCGAGACACAAAAAATCAGTATACTTCCTACAGCTAACACGTGTTCAACAGGAATGCGCGGGAGGGTTTGGCAACTCGATGTCGGCTCTTTGCCACGAATTTGCCAATCATGAGTTGGGTACTTCAACCATTCAGCCATGGAGAGCATCCACACTGAGTGATCGGTCCGCTAGTTCGCGCAAATCCAAAGAAGTTATCATGGCAAAGATGGATTCGACCGCGGAAACCGAAACCTGATCTAGGGAGAAAAATAAACGACTATCTTGTTCCATCGCTTTCTCTTTATAAGTTTATTCTATACCGGGCCAGACCGAAATAAGGCTCGGTTTACCTATGGATTCAAGGGTTTTAACAGGAGAAACTACACTGGCGACCACGTTGAATAATTTTATGGGTTTCAGAGTGGTGAACCCCTGCCCCTTCCATACTAGAAAAGAAGATGACAAGAAAGATGGGGAAAGAGATTGAGTTGTCTCACCTTTCCATTGTCAGCAAGGTCGGTCCAGTCATATTCTTTACACTTCTGAGCAGCACTCTCTGATAATGCTTTTCTCTTCTTTGAAGCATCACTCACTTTTCCTTTGCCAGCTTCTTCTTCCTCGTAATTTTCCCCATAAACCGATAGCTTGAATTCTTCTATTGCCTTCACAACCCCAGGTCTACAACAAAACATGCAGAAACAGAATGCCTTCTAAGCAGATAAAATAAGCAAAGGCAATAAGCTGTACTATTCTGCAGTGGTTTAAAAAAGAGAGACAAAGCTACACCATAATCATACCTAGCCATTCCTTCTTCATCAGGGACTGTTTCGTCATTAACCTCGGGCATTGCATCTTCTTCCAGGGCTAAAGCCTGCAGTACTGCATAATGTCTCTGCAAGGCTGAAATATGTCTTTCATTATACATGGTAGAAATCGAGTTTTTAGTGAAACCAGATTAAAGAAAACAATGGGGAACAAAAACAATGTCCAACAGAAAGAGGCCCTGCCACAACTCTAGACCTACCGAAGTAAAAATGTGATATCCCACATTGGTTGGGGAGGAGAACAAACCACCATTTATAAGGGTGTGGATAGCAGACGCGTTTTAAAGCCTTGAGGGGAAGCCCGAAAGGGAGAGCCTAAAGAGGACAATATCTACTAGCGGTGGATCTAGGTCGTTACAAATGATATCACAGCCAAACACCAGACGATGTGCCAGCCTTCTCGCTATTCCCCGAAGGGGAGTAGACATGAGGTGGTGTGCCAGTAAGGACGCTGGGCCCCAAAGGGGGTGGATTTGGGGGCGGTCCCACATCGATTGGAGGAAGGAAAGAGTGCCAGCTAAGACGCTAGGCCCCGAAGGGGGGTGGATTGTGATGTCCCACATTGGTTGGGGAGGAGAACAAACCACCATTTATAAGGGTGTGGAAACTTTCCCCTAGCAGACGCGTTTTTAAAGCCCCTTGAGGGGAAGCTCGAAAGGGAGAGCCCAAAGAGGACAATATCTACTAGCGGTGGGCCTGGGTCGTTACAAAAAAAAGATTTCCAATCCAAGATAATTAAACCTAGAGGATAGTAACAAAATGTTGGGACACGGAAGAGAGGCATTAATTAGGGGCGTATGCATTTCATAAGAGTTTATGTTACAGCAAGCAGCATGCCAACTTAGAATTCTGTATACTACCATGTTTAATAAGGGAAGGAAAAAGTTCCACAAATAAAAATTCAGAAATAATAAATTGAACCATGTTTATTCATTTCCATTTCAATTTTCTGGTTCCTAGCAAATTGAAGGTATGAATCTGTAACAATACCAGGATTAGCAAACTGGCAAACTGAGAAGTCTTTCAAGTCAATGCGTTTCATTAAAGCAGCGGCCTTTTTAACTTGATCATCAGTCGCTTTAGGTGCAACATTAGGATCCGGATGAAGCTGCAACATATTACAGGACTAATTAGCAGCAACTTTAAGAAAACTACTCTGACCAACTAAAACATTTTTCTTGCCTCCTCAACATGTCGGATATCGTCAGCATAAGGCAAATATAACATGTGCATTCCTGGTGGCTCGAGCTGTCCCCCAGCAGTAATAATCTCATCCTTTGTAGTTCCAATAAGACAAGTGCATTAAACTCAGAAATTAGAGCTCAACAACGCCTAAAACTTTGAGCAGTAGAATGACAACTGAAAGTCCTAAATGCAACAATAACAACAAAAAAAAAAAATAAATCCATTCCGAAGCTTCAAAAAAAGTTCTCAACTTCAGTGATCTGATTGATGTCCATTAAATCAATAACACAAATGAAAATTGGTAGCAGAGATGAGGAGTATAAGATAAAATGAGAGATGCATGACATTGCTAATGATGGAAGAATAGTTTCATCTTACTTGGGCCACAAGAGCAACTAGCTGGGGGCGAGATGGACTACCAAAAAAAGCAACTGCAAAACTGGGTAATAGAGAACAAAATGGTTATTGTATAGAACCACATCAGTTACAAATTTTAAAAATCTACCCATTAATCAATACTAAAATGGGGATTCAATGTTCATCTCAGTTACATATGTCAACACTTAATGGAGAAAGGATACCACATAGTACGACAGATGGATGTACTTACAATCAAATTCTTCCCAATTGTCAAGATGTTTTAGCATAGAACACTTACAAGAAATTTCGAACTTAAAATTTATAAGTAAAAACAAGAGAGAGAAAAAAATATTAAGCTGAATCCGCCTACATACCTCCAATAGCTTGAATCAATGTTTTAAAAAGGTTTGTTCTCTTCAACAGACCCGACATCAACTGGGAAGAATATATCCCAAGCTTTTTTTTTTTTTTCCTTCTTCTTTGACAAGGGAACAAAACTTTTCAATGATATTAGAATAGGATTGCACGCCTATTGATAATTTGTGATCAACTTACTTCTTTAGTATCCTATCCCAAGGGGAAAGTTGATGTAACGGCCCAGATCCACCGCTAGCAAATATTGTCCTCTTTGGGCTTTTCCTTTTCGGCTTCCCCTCAAGGCTTTATAAAACACGTCTGCTAGGGGAAGGTTTCCACACCCTTATCAATGGTGGTTTGTTCTCCTCCCCAACCAATATGGGACATCACAATCCACCCCCCTTCGGGGCCTAGCGTCCTTGCTGGCACTCTTTCCTTTCTCCAATCGATGTGGGACCGCCCCCAAATCCACCCCCTTTGGGGCCAGCGTCCTTACTAGCTCACCGCCTCGTGTCTACCCCCCTTCAGGGAACAGCGAGAAGGCTGGCACATTGTCCGGCGTCTGGCTCTAATACCATTTGTAACGGCTCAGATCCACCACTAGCAGATATTGTCCTCTTTGGGCTTTTCCTTTCGGGCTTCCCCTCAAGGCTTTAAAACGCGTCTGCTAGGGAAAAGTTTCCACATCCTTATAAATGGTGGTTTATTCTCCTCCCCAACCAATGTGGGACATCACAGTTGATTACCTGCCCCGTCATAGTTCTTAAAAATTTTCACCAAACATGATCCATTCTGTATACTATCTAAAGGATACTTCGGTTGTGGACCAAAGAGAGACCAATTTTTTACTTCAAGATTATATAGAGCTGGAAGATTCTAAATCTCTTCAATCTGAACCCTTCGAGAAATTACTTCCTTCATTAATCTCTATATCCACGGGCCTTCCCTCATGATATCTAACATGAGGCTAGTTGATATCAGAATGAACCATACCAAACTTGCCTCAGCATTGTAGGAGACCTTCTTCATAAGATACTAAATTTACTTAGAAACGGTATAATGCTCTTTAAAGTTGCTTGTTTCTCTGCACACTAAATTTCTTAGAATTTTCACCATCTTATTATTCATCATATTATATTTTTTTCATATCTAAAAGATTAAGTGTTTCTCAGACAAAAAATGTTGCCACTTTTCTATGAGCTTTGCACTTGAGCCCCAAAGGACTGTTGCAGGTGCACTAAAAAACATTGGTACGTCGACAGTCATACAAATAAAATAACTGTGGAAGGAAAAAAGTTGCTACTATGAAATACAATTTTTGGACAATGAAGAGAATCAATGTGTTTAATTATACAGGGTAAGGATGGGGTTATATGTACAAACCGATTGAGCTTCAACATGGATCTGTGGAGTGCAACGAAGATGCAAGTGCTACCAACCATTTCCTACAATAAAGACCGTCAAAATCTGGATTGGGGTTATTACGTAGACATTTGAACAGATTTCCTTTTA